ATATTTTTTAAGTAGTGTAGTCCTTTAACTAATATTGTACAATAACGAGTTAGTCGCTTTGTGAAAGTCTGTAAAATATTTAGATATTTCTCAATATCTTAATAAAGACATGTCAATGCGGCATGATTGCGGGTTAAAAAATTAAAAAAATAAAAAATAAAAAATATTTTATAGAATTAAATATTTATATTAATATTTTTTATATTTTTTAAATAAATAAATTTTAAATTATAATAAAAATTTTAATTTTTTAAAAAATTTAGACAATTTTTTTTTTTTTTACTGTATTTATAATAATTTCTATAAAATATTAAAAAACTTATTTATTTTAATAAAAAAGAAAAAAAATAAAAATAAAAATATAATTTTAATATATACAAGATATAAAAAAGTATTATATAATAATATAGGACTAGAAGAATAAGTTAATTAATTTAATAAAAATTTGTATCAAGTTAATAATAATGTATCAAATCTTATAACACATAAAAACCTAAAGGATAAACAATTTATTCTTTTATTTTTGACAATTAAAATTTTTAAAAAAGAAATTGATCAACTTAATTATATTATATTTATTCAAAATATATATTAAAATCATATTTTTATTGTATTATTTATTTTTATTTTGATTTTGTCACTTGTCAATATTAATAAAAAATAAAAGATATAAATTATATAATATGTTATATTTATTCTTATTTATATTTCTATTAATTAAAAATCAATCAATTTAAATTTTCAATTAATCAATTTATTCAAAATCTGATATAATAAAAAATTTACATTACCTATAATAATAATAATAATGATTTATAATCAATATAATGTTAAATGATCCTGATTCTTTTTTCTAGATCTTGAAATTTTTAAAAAAAATAAAAATAAATATTTTTTGTTTAATCTTTTTTACTTAATTTAACTTTCTAATTATAGATAATTGAGTTTAAGATTTTTTTTAAAAAAAAAAGTAAAGCAAGAAGAATAAAGATAAATGCTTGTTAATCAAATAAATTATAGTATATATTAAGAAGAGTTATAAAATTTTATTGTTTTATAAATATAAAGTTTAGAAAGAATGTTTTTTAGAAATAGTGATCAAAAAATCAACAGATAGAGTTCTAATATATTTTTTGATATATTTTATATAATTATATATTGCATACAGTATATACAGTATATTCAAAAATAAATAAATAAAATTTTTTTAAAAAAAAGCAATCAATAGTAAATTTATAAATTAATTACATTATCTTGCACACTATATATTATAAATTTCGTCGTGAATAATTAAAAATCAACAATCAGGTGTTTTGGCGGATGCTGTAACTTAATAAATACTGTACTTTAGTATATAAAAAATTGGATTAAGATCGGGTGCTACTTTATTAATGTTGCGTTACTTTCGGTGGGAAACTGTATATAGCAAAAATACTACGGCCATATGGCCCGGCCGTAAAACAAACTAGGTATCATTGAGATAGATCTTTCCACAGAAAATGTAGATTACATTAACTTGCTGCAGATTAGAATTCTTGAATTTTGAAGTCGGGGGGATAGGCAAAAATACAAGACAAGAAATAATTGTTCAACTATTATTTTGACGTATCACTTATTGAACTCATGATCAAATAATAATGTACTCAAAATGGAAGCAAACACAGCGTGAGAAATAGGCGTATACACAAATATAAAAGGGTCACCTCAAATTCTCAAAGAACAAAAATGCTTTACTCAAAACGCGAGACAACCGTTTTTTTTTTAATATTCGTCTTAATTCTATCTTTTTTCTCTGTTACTTATGGAACTGTAAAAAAACACTGCCCCTTGGCTGAAAAATGCCCTTACTATGATGCTGTTATTTCCGGAAAAAATTTGCACGATTTCGATTGGACTAATGCTAATTGTCCGGCTGCTGGTACATCAAAGAGTTTTCTCGTTAAAATAAGGTTCTACCTCAACCTTAATAGTAGAACTAAATTAATTCAATATATTTCAATAAGGAAAATGTCCGTACTTCGAAGATATAAAGAAGAAAGCTTTGGCTGGTGGTGACCATGATTCTCTACCGTCAAAGGAGGGTGGATGTCCCTATGCCGCAGGTTGTCCTCATGCTCAGACCCATCATAAGCATACGGGCGGTGGTGATATCGCGAAATGCCCTTACATGAACAATAATGTGAAAGGATGCCCTTATCTGAAAAATGAGAGTAAAGAAGATAAAGACTTAACAAAAAAGTGTCCTCACTTTCAAAAATTGGTGCAACATGAAAAAGATGAGCTATAGTGCTTAAAAACATCGGTAAGACAATAAAGTGGGCCTGTTTATTTTAGATAAAGTTTCTGTTACATTGCTATATGTGAATTTTTTTAATTTTTTAACTTTGCATGCATATTCCCAATAATCGAATGTAGGAAAATTGGTCGTTATATTTTGCAAGAATTACTGGTACAAAGTAAATAAAATAAAGCTATTATACATTTTAAATTCTATTTTATCTTTATATAAAAGTTGATTATTGTTAGTAACAGAATGTCTATATTAAAAATTTTAAATCAGTCAAATAATTTTTTTTATGAAAAACCCGCAGCCAGGTTAGATTAGGAGTTTATTACTTATAATAATACGAATGTACTGTAAATAGTATGGTATATATTATAGTCAAATTATACATACAAATAAAACTTACTTATTATAAGTATAGAAAGTCTTTAAGTTTGATATTGGAAGCAATTTGTATTTTGTAATAGATTTTGGATAAAGATCCTTTTAAACTATATATTATAATCAACAAGTTATCACTGTCAATTATCTTATCAAGTCATTAGAATATAGAAAATTATATAAGAGATAATTGAAAAAAAAGGAAGTAAGAATATTTAAAAATATATAAATATGTTACAAAAAAAAAAATTTATTTAACTTTTTTTAAAGACTTATATTTTAAAATCTCTTTTTAATGAAATTTGTTCATTAGAAATATTCTTTTTTTTTTAACTATTTGAAAATTTTATTTATTTTAGATTTTAATTTTTTTTTTGTATATTGTAATATTTAATTGATTTAAGAAGGTCTTAATTCTTATATAACTTAATAAAAATTAAATCATATTATGTTATTATAATATTTTTCAATAATCATATTTAGTTAAAAAAATTAATATGTATCTTTAATTATTTAAAAAAATTAGATTCTTTAATATTATTTTTTTATAATAATATAGAAACTTTGAACTTATAGAAAAATAAGAACTTTTGTCAAATTTATTGTTTTTTTTTTTTTTATTTTTAAACCGCAACTGGTATTAGATATGAGTACTTTTATTAAGAATTAACTTAACATCGTAGATAATGAAATTCTGGGCATCACATCAATTATCTCATACAAACTATATATTTTATATACATGCAGATTAATGATAACCTATTGTAGTTTTCTCTAGGTGGACTCACTAACCACTCTGTGAGTGGAGCAGATCCAGCTAGGGGCCGGATGGTTAATACACAGTTATCGATGGTGAAACAGACTAAGTTTAATATTGAGTTTTTATAAATTTTTAATTATATTCACTAAACTAGTCTGTATAG